ACTCTGTATGAGATCTCACCAAAAATCGATTTCGGTGAGATCTCATATGGAGTCTCGATATTCAGTACTAGTAATTGTTTTGAGATCTCAAATAAAATCTCATGGCGGTTATGAGTTACAAGAAAAAAAAAACCGTGGCGGTCAACGTGTTAAGATATTTATAAGCATTATACTTTTTTAACTTTTTWTCTCGATAAATATGTTTACAACAATTTCAATAATTGTATACTTAGTCAAATATTTTGRACGTTTAATAGATAATATTATATAATCCCTATTAAATTTTCATCGCAAAAATGTAAAAATATAAAAAAAGCACGAGCACGATATTGATTTTAGAAAACGTTCGAAGTATTCACACAACAGTTATCAAAACCGTTAATTTTTTGTATACAGTGTTCATTCGCTGAATGAAAATTCAACACATTTGCACATAATTTACAGTGTACACTTAAAACCTAATATTGTAAATCAAAACGGTAGCTTCCTTGGCCCGCGACATAGTATGTCTAGTATTAGGTACTTTTTTAAATGSTTTTTACTATGCATCGATTTCCATTGGTGACAATTAATATATTTAGTTTTCCATGTTAAACCTCTAAGATGGTTTGATAATAATTTAATTACGCTATAGGTATAAATTAATAGGTAATAAAGTATCTAGTATACTTACATTTGTTTTAAAGACATGTCCTACATATGTATTTATAGTTAGTTATAGTCTGGTAAACTGGGCATAGTTTATAACAATGTATTGTCTGAATGAAATTAAAATTTAATAACTTTGTTGATTTTATATTTAATTATGTCATTTGTGTAAAATGATGTTTATGTGATACACATTGAGTAATTGAAATATTAAAATAAAATTCAGTATTTAGTTTTACTCAAGAGCCCACTTTTTTAAATTTTGACCACCTTTCTTTAAATTTTATTTTAAAAATCAAAAATTAAATACTGTTTAATTAGTAAAAAAAGGAATAAATAAACACAGAATTTAAAAATAATCGAAAAGTAAAATGTAATTTTCATAATAAGTTATGCATTATAGTTATAATGTGAGTAGAAAATACTAAGTCAAAAGATATCAAATCTTTAAAAAAAAAAATAAAATAATGAACTTCATTTTAGTTTTTTCAATCATTTAATGTTTATTATGAAAACAAAATTTACGTCAGTAACTCAAATTAAACTGTATACAAAGTATTCATCAATTAATTTAAAATAGATAATTTATTTTAGATTCAATATTAAATTCCTGATTACTCGTAAAATGTACGTATTACTATATTATTATCATAAATGTTATTCTCTATTTTATTATTATGATTTATTCACTATACATGCCTGATAACGCGCAAAAATAATGGAAATAAAAATTAACATAATATTATTATATCCATCGATTTTAGAACATATTGACTTATTGTGTAGAGCTCGAAACCAATAGGTTCAATATTATTGTTTTTTTTTTTTTAAATCTCCGTTTTGATTTTCACAAGTAGGTTTATTGATCAATGGTCTATGATCGAAGCTAACAACCAACCACGATGAAGGAAAATTATTTTAATAGTTATTCAGAACTGAAAAGTACAAAAAAAATGTTGTACATCAAAGATTATGGGTAAAAAGTCCATGATAATGGGTATGGAAGCTATGGTGGAGAATTAAGTGATCAAATCCACCAACATTAATAATTTGTAAAACTGGTTCAAGTAAAAAAATAAAAAAAAAAAAATAGAAGTTTGTATCCGTACGTAAATCTCAACTACATCTCCGTAAGCAGTATAAAAAATTCGGWGTTTAAGTGTATTTAAAAATTTCAAGCGATTAAATTTTTGAAGAAAAGTTGCGTGTATTTTGACGAAACCATCCGTTTAAAAGAAACGCATATAGGCATTAGCTAMAGAATGTATTGGGAAAATTTGACAATATTTTAGTTAAATCAAATTTGAACATGTCAGAATTTCTTGATATTGTAAACAC